GGTTGGGTGGGTCAAATGGGTTGGGATCAAGATTGCCAGCCCTATGTAAAATAGCAATTTTGCCTTTACTTATTTTTCAATTCAAACTTTAGAGGGGCATTTGTTGTCCAATGAAAATTCCAAAACCCAAGGACACCTATTTGCACTTCTATAGATGGTATAGATAGATTAATGCTATGAACTATGAAGTATACTTTGGAAATGTCCATGCAATATTTGGTCTTCTATTAGGAATTCATGTCAAACACTAGTATGCTAGGCATGTAATGGTTTACGAGTCTCATAGGCTAAAACACAAGAAAAGGTTAAATAAACCTGAGGATTATCCATGTCTTTCAGAAAAAAGGCAAAAAGGTTTAAACACTAGGAATATGTAAACTTGGATGAGTGACATCTCTGACTTCCCAGAAGAAGGAAACTGTTCCAATAGCTATGACAGTTTATTTCTAGCTAAAGATATCTAAATGGCAACTATCCCATGACTGTTCAAGAACAAGAAGTGTGCAGTAGTTGAAAACTGTTCTAGTTTTAAATGGGCACTATATAGGGGTATAGGCCTTCTGTAACTTACACTTGGACTATCAAACCCGCCTTCATTTGCATCACAAAGATCCAGTGCTATTTTCCGGAGCATCGGCCACTGTAAGTATCATAGAGGGAAGATAGGTAATAATTTGTCCAAGCTAAATTTCCTTTTAAAAGTTTTCAAACAAACCTTACCCTTGAAGCAGCATCAACAATGAAGTTCCTTTGGATTCCACGGCCCTGTATTTTGATGGTGACAATTCAATCAATCAGTCAAAAGGTGAGGAAGAAAGAGGCAGACGATACTGAAACAAGATTGGGATCACTGATTTTTGATAATATAAGCTATAAGCTACATTAGATCCTGATATTTCAGGTAGACAGATTTCAGGAGTAGTAAGAATATCCTGAAGTAATCAACAAGTTATCTTAAACATTAACTACTGGTCAGCTTAAATAATTAAGTTCTTCAAGGAAGAACTACAAAATTGCAGCAGTCAAGGTAAAAACTATAGTCTCAAAAGAACGCACAATGGAAGAAAAGAACTCAAATTGAGTAGTAAAACCAGCTAATGTTTTTCTCTTCTCAAGTTTCCTTGATTCAGATGCATATCTGACATACAACTTACAGAAAGAGACAAGAGTTTAAGAGCACCTCACCCCACCACACCCCCTCCAAAAGGGAAAAAAAGGAAAAAAGAAATAGATGCAGGGGTAATGTGGACAATTCAGTTCTCCCATCTGAGAGGTTTCTATGGGAGAAAATCCTACACACTATACTGCTGGTTAAAACATAAACCTAATTCTTATATGCATTTTAGTTGCTCTATGTCAGTGATGCCTGTTGTACATATCTTACACATACAATGAGACTGTGCATATGTGTGCACCCTAAAAACTGCTTCTTAAATGAGATGCCTGTCTAAATTGTAAAAGTTTATTTATTCATCAAAAAAAAAATTGTAAAAGTTTATTTTTAAATTAATTAATAAATATCCATAATAAAGCTCCTATATATCTTATGATTCTTTAGATGGGCATTTGCACTTACGGGACCAAATTATCCCATGAACCTGGTAAAGACATGGATGTGGCATTGAATAAAGCAGAATAGTGGAATAGGATTCATGTAGCCAACCTCATATAATGTGGATAAGACTTAGTTGAGTATTTAGTAAAGGCATATGGAATGTTGAATGTTGTTTCTGGATTATGTCATGGAAGAAGATGATTTTGGAAAACAGTGGAGAAATGATTATGTCATGGATGTTCTTAGAAAACTCCCCAAGTATGGAGGCACTGTTGTAATCTGGTTTGTGGTTTTACAGCTCATACCATTATTTTTCATGAGGCTATTAAACTAAAAAACAATAAAAGGTAAGCAGGAAGAAGAGAGAAGAGAGTGGAGAGGAGAGAAGAAGAGAGGAAAGAGAGATAGGGAGCCAAAGAAACAGGCTGGCGGCACCAGCATTAGTATTTATATTAGGGCGACCCAACATTAATAAATAAATAGATAAAAATATAAAAGTGCCCCTGCGGCACCCAAAATTAAACATATGACAGTTGTAACACTCCCCCTCAAGTTGGGACATAGATGTCAATCAAGCCCAACTTGTCACATAAATCATTATGCCGCAAATGATGTAGGCCCTTTGTGAATATGTCCGCAAGCTATTCTTCAGAACTGACATAGGGAGTACACACTTCCCCACTAACAAGTTTGTCCCTGATAAAGTGTTTGTCCTATCAATATGTTTGGTTCTATCATGAATGACTGGGTTGGCTACAATGTTGATGGCAGCCTTGTTATCACAATACAAGAACATGGGACTATTAACTGTAACTCCCAGTTCACCCAACAAAATTTTTTGTCCACAATCTCAACCACTCCATGGGATATTGCTCTGTACTCAGATTCAGCAACCTACAAAGGTACAATAACCACTAATGGATTTTCTGTCATCAATTGATCTGACGTAGTCAATATCTATATACACCTCAACCTTCAAATGCCCATGAATAAACAAGCCCTTGAAAACTTCTTAAGATACCTAAGGATCCTCTCAAACTGCCTCCAAGTGAGTCTTCTTAGGGCCATGCATGAACTGACTAAGAACACCCACGACATAAGCAATATTCGACCGGGTCATGGATAGATATAAGAGCCTCCACACACATCTTTGGAATTACTTTACATCTTTAATAGTCTCTCCGTGACAATCGCATAATCTGTGATTTGGATCAATGTGAGAGTCAGTTGGCTTCACCCCTAGCTTCCTTGAATCTTATAAAAGATCTAGAATGTACTCCCTTTGAGAAATGAAAACACCATAAGGGACCTAGATAATTCACCTCAATCCGAGTGCTAGGAACTCCTTCAACTTCTGAATTTCAGCTTTCCAATCACTAGTGGTTACTATGTCATCAACATACACTATCAGGGCTGCAATTTTACCTTCCCTCTTTTTACAAATAATGTGTGATCAGACTAGCACTGCATGTAGCTTATCTGTGGCACGACTAAATGATGTTGAACCAAGCCCTTGGTGATTGTTTTAAACCATACAAGGACTATTTCAGCCTACACACTTTCTACTCACTGCCTTGAGCACAAAAACTAGGGGGTTGCACCATGTACCCCTCTTCTACAAGATCACCATTCAAAAAGGAATATTTGATATCCAACTGATGAAGATCAAAATCAAGGTTAGCAACTAGAGAAAAGAGGACTCTAATAGAATTCATCTTCATTGTCGGGGAAAATGTCTTAGCATAACCCACTCCATACACCTGAATAAAACCCTTTTTCCACTAAGCGGACTTTATAACTTTCCATTGTGCCATCAGCCTTGTGTTTCACTATGAACACCACTTACATCCTATCGGCTCCTTTCCTTTGGGAAGATCCACCAATTCCATGTACCATTTTTATGTAGAGCATTAATCTCTTCTTTCATTGCATCTGTTTATTTAGGAACTAAGAGAGTTGTTGCCACATTCTTAGGGATAAAAAGACTATCAATGGAAGAGAAGAAATCATGAAAAGAATGTGAGATGTTCTCATAAGAAACAAAATGGGAAATAGAATGCTTAGTGATGCAAGACCTAACTCCCTTTCTTTGTGCAATAGGAATGTCTAGGTCATCAACAATAGAAGTATCAATGGCAATAGGGTTAGGCACATCTATGGGAATAAGAATACCTACTTGGGTGGGATCTACCCCCGAGGAATCTGATGATGTTGGTGGTACAACATCAAAATGCTCCATGACTCTTGAACTCAGCTGGCCCTTATGATGACAAAAGAAAACATGAAACGGAGGAGGATCAAGAAGAGGAGGAAGCTGAACCTGAACTAGTTTCTCTTCAACCCTATTCTCCCCCTAAAGAGAAACAAGGAAAAAGATGTCATTCTCAAAGCATACATCCATATAAAACATAATACTTCTTGAAAACATGATCAAAACACCAGTAACCCTTTTGAGAAGAAGGGTACCTTAAGAAAACACAGGGAATAGTACGATGATCAAGTTTACCACGAGTAGGAGACAAATCTTGAACAAAACAACAACAACCAACCCTATAAGAATAGAAAATAAGAGAGCTTTGGGAAATAGAAGTTGATGTGGGGCCTCGTAGTCCAACAAACGAGATGGCATATGGTTGATGAGAAATGCAACACATAAAACAACATCCGACCAAAGTATTTTAAGACATTCATATGTATTACTAAGACACAAGCAACTTCAAGGAGATGACAATTTTTTTCTTTCTGCAATGCTATTCTATTGGGATGTTTTGGCACAAGAAATGTAGTGAACAGATCCACACAAAGCAGAAAAACTCTATGAGGTCACTATGGAAATACTCTCCAGCATTGTCAATTTGGAATCTTTGGATTCAATTTTACAATTTTTGGCACTTCATCTCTGGATCGCATTGGATAGACCTATATATATCTGAGGTAATCATCAATAAGTGTAATAAAGTACTTGTAACCAATCTTAGAAGATAAAGTAATAGCGCCCCAAACATCAGAATAAAAAATATAAAAAGAAAATTCAGATTTATTATTTCTTGAAGAAAAATGACTTCTACAACCAAAGCTTGTTGATTGGGTTTTAATTCTTCCAGAATTTGTAGGCAGCAAAAAAGAAGATTTTGGTTCAAGTTTCTGGTCTACTTTGTCGGTTTAATTTTGTATGGGTTTTGAGTTTGGTCTGTTTTAGTATGGTTATATTTTAGATTCTGTTTTGTATTGCTAGGTGGTGATACCTTGTGACCCAAGACATTTGTATTTTTTTATCATTAATAAAAAAATAGCAATCTTCAAAAAAAAAAAAGTTACTTCATCCAAACAGAATAAGATATTTAGACTGGGAAATCCACAAGTCAGCCCATAGATCTAAAACTTAGATCAGTGAGTCTGTACACTAGGTACTAAATGGACGACTCATGGTACAAAAAATCTATTGTATATCTAACCTTGATCATAATAACATTCAAAAGAAAAAGCAGAAATAGAAGACTCACAGTATGGCGTAGTGAGAGGTCTTCAATAGCTTTACAATCAAAAAGAGAAGAAACCCCTTCTGATGTTACTTCTCCACAGTCCTAACAATTAAAACAATCATATATTAAAAAAAGTGAGGAAACAGATAAAGCATATGAGAAGTGATAGCCCTAAATACATAAAGCTTGGCACAAAAAATTAATAGAAAAACAGAGCAAACTCCAATTCTTATGGTAGATATTTTTTTGTAATAAATAAAAAAGGAATTTTATTGGAAAAAAGAAAAAAAGGTACAAGAGAGGTGATAAGATATTGCTCTCAAGAAAAAGAAAAGGCATCCAAAACAAACATAACCTCCCATACCCAAATAGAAAAGCAACAACTTTTCCTTTTTAACCCTTAGAATCTCTCCCAACAATTTGCTTCCAAAGCCTGCATCCCTCAAAGAACCAAAAGGCTCCCAAACCCATCACAAACAAGATCCTAAAACTGAACCCTCAAACAATCACCAATCTGAGCCAGGACTTTCAACGTTAACAGGTACTGTATTTCTAATTCCCGAAATAACCTTCTTGTATTATATTCACCCTAGAACCAATAAATCCAGCTTCTTGCCAACTTAGACTCCAGTTTCCACTATCTTTTCAACATGGACCATATGCATTTTTTTTTCAATTTTTCTAACTCTGTCAAGATCCATCCCCTCTCCTTCCTCTTAAGGATCTCCATCCACTTTTTCTGAATCATCTTCTCCTAACAAAGCCCCCTCTCTTGCCAAAGCTTCTTCATTAAGATCTGCCAACTTATCTCCCCTGTATGGTCATCACATTAATTGATCAAACAGTTATTGAGTTTTCTTTAAGTCAAATTATGATGTGGCAACTCTGTAATTTCAGTTTTCTTAGTTCTAGTACAATTGGCCAACCTAGAGTTTCTATGCATGTTTTTGTGCTGTTTTAAAACATGGTTATTGATAGGGAAAAGTACCAAAAGAAATTTTCTGTAAATTTAAAAAGTAGATCAGCTCAGGCAGAACCGAAACCCTGCTGAGGCCTGAGTCTTTATGATTAAATTCCAAATTCCCATGCCATGTCATCTATCTCTAAAAAATGATGATATGGAAATCTAATTTGACAACCCATCAATCTACAACTCAAAGACCACTCTCGCCAGTCCACCTTGCCCTCATGTCTCTCTCTACCTCCTCTCTTTACCAATGATAGAAATACCTCTCCTCGTGCATATAATATGTAGCTACACGAGCCATCCTTCAAATCTTCTTTTTTACAAAACAAAGATCGGAGTTTAAATACAGAGAGAGAATGAGAGAGAATAATATATGCAGTTTCTACATTGCTTCCTAGTGTCTCTCTGAAATCCCAATATTTGAATCTTGAGCTGAAGCTGTCAAGAAACGTGAAATCTGAACAAGACTTAGAACTTAAATCACTTGCTTTGCAGTGTTTTCTTGTAGAGAACACTGATGTGGGCCCCACTGCAGTGGTCCACACTGTGTTCGTAGGACAGCATGTGTAGTTATTTGTTCCAGTTATAGTAGTGTCAGTTTGAGTCAGTTTGTTAATTCAGTTGTTAATTATTTCAGCTTTTATTTACTTTATTTATTATGTAAGTACTAAGGGCAGATGTGTCCTTTCCATTATGTAATAAACATAACCTATAAATAATAAGAAAGTGGCGGCGGCAGATCTGTTAGAATCTGTCCCTCCTTTCAACCACTTGTGTTCTCCTGTTTCTCTTCTATTCTCTCTCCTTTCTCTCACTTTTCTTCTGTTTTGTAAACCTAAAACCTATTAGGATTCAAG